GTAATTACCCCACTTTACAGAAACAGACACCGGCATTGTAGGCTACTCTCCCAGGAAACAGTCCTCGTGGGTCGAACTGTTCTGGAACATTTTTGTAAATACAACTTAACCACTGATTTCTAGTTGTGTCCTGTTTTGGAAGGTCAAACAAAGTAGTTTCGCTTTCATAATGAATCACACAGCGTCTTCACGACATGGCGGCAGCAACAATACTACAGCGAGAATCAGTGAAGTGAAAAGCTGCGTGTTTCTAAGAAACAAATCCATCAATAAGATGTTTTAACTTTAAACTGTTGCTTCTGGCCATAATCCATAATAACGCTTCCTTCAGTGAAAAAGTCACTTACATATTTGTTTAGAACTGTTTTGGACTGGTTTTGCTTGTAAACGATGCTTGTTCTGTTTATATTTCTCTCCCGATTCAGACAAGACTTTTTTACTGCAGAAAATAATAATATGGATAGAGGACTCATATTTTAGCCGAAAGCAAAGGTTTAAAGGTAAAAACGTCTTAGTGATGGATTTGTTTATTATAAACATGCAGACATTAACTGATGGACTGGAGTGGTGTGGATTACTGTGATGTTTTTATCAGCTGTTTAGACTCTCATTAACATGCAGACATTAACTGATGGACTGGAGTGGTGTGGATTACTGTGATGTTTTTATCAGCTGTTTGGACTCTCATTCTGACGGCACCCATTCACTGCATTGGAGATCAAGTGATGTAATGCTACATTTCTCCAAATCTTTTCTGATGAAGAAACAAACTCATCTACATCTTGGATGGCCTGAGGGTGAGTAAATGTTCATTTTTGAGTGATCTATTCCTTTATTCAAGAGCACTAACTATTGTTTAATATTTCCAGCACTTTCCTGACTTGCCATCAGTAATGACCAGCATTGTATTTCAAGAGAGTCTGGTGCTTCCTGTTAAGTGATAAGTGGAGCTCACCAGAGTCAGCAAGTTGACGGAGAACTCCATCTGTTTTAGCGGAACAGTTTGAGCATCTAAGAGTTTCAGCACAGATGTGGCCAGAGTGTTTATCTGGTATGTGACACTGGCCAGAGCCTGCGTGGTGAGAGCTTTGGACTCTTCAATGACACTTCTGGAGTCTTGCACCTAAAGTTAAAAAAATCATCATTTTCAATACTCAAACTCTTTTAGAAAATTTTTGTTTATGAATAACAACAGACTGAAAGAACTCTGGACTCGCAATTTGAGCACATCTGAACCATTTAATCAAGTCAGCAGTTTGAACATAATAGACAAATGTGTTGTGTGTGAAAAATGCATGTCTAAATAAATATAATAAATATACATTATACCATTCAAAAGTTTGGGGTCAGCAAGATTTTCTAATGTTTTTAAATAAAAGTCTCTTCTGCTCAACAAGACTGCATTTATTTATTTTTTAAATACAGTATAAACAGTAATATTGTGAAATATTTTTATAACTGTTTTCTATTTGAATATATTTTCAAATGTAATTTATTCCTGTGATGACAAAGCAGCCATAGTCTTTAGTTGTCATATGATCCTTCAGAAATCATTCTAAAATACTGATTTGTTGCTCAAGAAACATTTTTATTGCTAATAAAAACAGTTGTGCTCTTTAATATTTTTGTGGATACAGTGATACATTTTTTAGGATTCTTTGATAAATAAAGTAAATCACCTACAGCTCAACCTGGCAAAGACTGAGCTTCTTGTCTTCCCTGCCACTCCAACTCTACAGTATGTTCAAAAGAACAGCATTTATGTGGAATAGAAATCTTTTGTAACATAAATGTCTTTACTGTCACGTATGACAGTAAGTGAGCTGCCGAGTAAAAGTATTAATGTCTTAAAAAACAGTAACCCCTAACTTTTAAATGATAGTGTATAAATATCCTGCTGAATAGACTACTGAATATTATCATTAATAATTAAAATATTATATGGATATGAAACTAACGTCTAGCAAATGTGCTGCATTCAGCTAGTATAACAGACCTCCGGGATACAGAGATGGATTCCAAGATAAACATGTTAAGAAAGGTTTTCATAGAGTCTTTGGAATACATACCACAGCCTTGTTTAGGCATGTACAGTATGCCGTCAATATACAGACAGCACAAAGCTGACAGAAAAGACTGGAAAAGAGTATAGCCTAAAGAAAGGTGTTTTCAGCAATCCATGTGAATAACTCATAAATAATGTATATGGAGCTGTAAAATGAATTCCACTTTTAAAGGGATACATGTATGAGTTTTGCAAATGTAATAAAATCCCTGTAAAAAAAAGCATGTCTTTACTACACTACTAGACTACTTACAATGTTGTACTTTGTAATTTTTGTAATCCTGGAATTTTTTTATCAGTACATATTATACATGTTCAGGCCTAATCTAAACGTACAGAAAGATCATAATATCCAGTAAGATCTCTAAAATACTCTATTTATTAGAATTTGGAGTGTAAAAAAAATCCAACCGTATTACTGCAAATTCAATATATAGGGAAAGAAAAAAAAATAGAAAAACGGCTCACATTGAGGTTTTTGTTCTGACAGTAATCAGCCACCTTGTGCAGATTGCTGTGGTTGTCTAGAAGAGCTTTTCGTGCAGTCGGAGCCTCTTGCAGGATTTTGTCTATGCGTTCTTTACAGTTGTTGTCTCTCATTGTGCTGGTCTGCTGCTGGTTACGGATCCTCTGCACTGACTCTGGTAAGACTAAGCTAAGGTGGACTAGAGAGCGACTGCAGTGAAGATGACAGGCACAAACATGGTAGAGTGGGTGTGTTTGTAAAGCATTTCTCAGGAATCTTTAGTGCAGACACAAGCTCATTTTTACAGGATATGATGCACAATATCTGTCTGTCTCCATATCTTTCTATCTGCCTGCTTGTCTGTTTATCTGTCTGTCATCTATCAATCCGACAGTCTATCTATCTATACAGTATCTGTTTGTCTCTGTCTCTCTCTCTCTATCTCTCCATTCATCCATCCATCCAGTATCTATCCATCCATCCAGTATCTATCTATCTATCTATCTATCTATCTATCTATCTATCTATCTATCTATCTATCTATCTATCTATCTATCTATCTATCTATCTATCTATCTATCTATCTATCTATCTATCTATCTATCTATCTATCTATCTATCTATCTATCTATCTATCTATCTATCTATCTATCTATCTATCTATCTATCTATCTATCTATCTGGGAAAGCTCTGGCTTCGTGTGGACGTAGCCTGAGTTTGACACCCCTGATCTACAGTATCTGACTCTCTGTCTAAACAGGGGTGTCAAACTCAATTCCTGGAGGGCCGGAGCCCTGCAGAGTTTAGATTCAACCCTAATCAAACACAACCTTCAGGAATTTGACACCCCTGGTCAAAGGATTAATTCTCTTTAAAATGAATATGGTAATGGCAATGGCAATGTTTTGGTACTTTTACACTGCTTTTTGCATTATTTTTTGCATTCTTGACATCCCCTGATCACTGTATGCTTTTGCTGTATGGGAAAGAACAATGTCAGCATTCTATAGTAAATGACGGCAGAATTTAATTTTGGGGGGAAAGTCTTCAAATATCATTTCACTTTAAAATATTTAAGCTTTTTTTGTATTATTCGTGAACTATAAAAAATAGTTCACAATTTTTCAAAAACATCCCTTGAACTATCCCTTTAAAAGAGAGAGAGAGAGAGAGAGAGAGAGAGAGAGAGAGACAAAAGAAAATAAATATAATAAATGCCATGGTCTGGCCACAAGAGGCCAGAATACAGATAGCAAAGCACAAGTGTCACATTCACTAGTTCCCTTGTTTCACAGGTTGTCAAAAGCATTAAAATACATTTGCACCTGATAATAGCTAATACTTAACCATGTTCTAGTGAGTCTAACATCTAAGTCTGTCCAGGAAACCAAATATTAAATATTTAACCATGCTATTAAACAGTAACCTGTTTCATGATCATAAAACTGCAATTCCTCAGTAAATTACTTTTTCCAGTGATACAACACAGAGAATTGTCAACCGGATACTTTTATGGTTATTATATTGCTCTTAATGCCCCATCAACGTGAGTGGTGCATTTTAATGACATCTCTGATAGAAACAGCTATTGCCCTTTTGAACTGATGCCTGATAGATTAGCCACCATATTTTGTATATTTGCAAAGTCTGTGTGCAGCTGGGGTTAAAATGATAATTGGTTATCATTGTCACTTATCACAGTTATGTGTATCACGTTTGTACCACAGAGGCAAATACTGTAATTTTCTATAATTATGCATGCAAAGCACTTTTATGCTGTATAAAGAGCATATCAGTCTCCCGTCTGCATATTCGCTATAAACAAAAATGAATATTTCTAATGTGTTACAATTATGCTAAAACATGAAGGCTGAAACATTACAGGCTGTTAACTGCTCCCATGCCGACAGAAAACGGTCTCTGTGACTAATATCATTAGTACGTGTTGTTTTATCTGCTGTATCCAGGGAAGTGGAAATCTGTTCCACAGGAAGACTGCGCCGCATGTAGAGCTATTGGGAGAGTTCAATGAAAAAAAGAAATCCATCCTGCAACAATATTGCCTTTGTTTGGGAAAGGCCTTTCAAGGGTGCTGCAAAACAATCTGTCTGACCTTTAAGCGTAATTACATTTGGGAGTAAAATTTAGCTGTTTAAAAAGAAAATGAGTATAAACCTTTGAATTAGTCACATGGGTTTTCCTCAGAGCAATTTCTTGGGTGTAGGAGGGAAAACTAATGTCTTTTTTTTTTTTACCATAATACGATTAAAATCTTTTTTAGTCAAACTGCTCCATACTAAATTGGATATTCAACTTATTATGAAATCCACATTTCAAGGGGAACTTTCCCCCCTAAATAACTGCTGTTTATAATAAAGGGGTCATATGATGCTGCTAAAAAGAACATGATTTTGTGTATTTGGTGTAATGAAATGTGTTTATGCGGTTTAAGGTTCAAAAAACACATTATTTTTCACACACTGTACATTATTGTTTCTCCTCTATGCCCCGCCTTTCTGAAACGCGTAAATTTTTACAAAGCTCATCTGTCTGAAAAAGCGAGGTGTGCTCTGATTGGCCAGCTATCCAGTGTGTTATGATTGGCCGAATACCTCAAGCGTGTGACGGAAATGTTACGCCCCCCACCATATTGTGATGATGCCTTGTCCCGGCCGGAGCAATGATTCAAAAACATGAAAACCCATTATAAACGAGGTATTCGTTGCATCCAGTGGAGACATAATTATGGATTATAATGAAACGACAAACAACAAGCCCTACTCTACACTGGCCAAAAAACTCGCTTTAAATATATAAAATATAAAAACTCTTTAAATATAAAAAACGTACTTATTATAAAGAATATCTCTTTGGATTTGAGACTTTAGTCTTTGCAACTTTACAGATCTTCTTTATGCACCAAGAGCTTGTAACACTCCAAAGAGAAAGGAAAAATTGAAATCGCATCATATGACCCCTTTAAAGAACATCCCAAATCAGAATCTTGAATCTTCAGGAATCACAAAATAAACCATGGTTAAGTATTTTTTTAATTGGGTTATATTGATTGGATATCAAAACAACTTTTGATATTGATTGGATCCTATCAAAAATGATAAGAACCACTGTTCTAAACCAAATAATTTAGTCCTAAAAACCATCTTTCTCCACTGATGGTCATTAAAAAAAATCACAATGATTTTTGATGCCATTTTTTACAAGCGACATATAATTGGAAATAATTCATATTAAATTGGAAATCTTCGTATTAAATTAGATAATTTTTTAAAGACCCCCTGTGATGAAAATCAAGTTTTCAACGTTGTTTACATGCCTATCTGGTGTTTTTAATATGCTTAAAGACAAACCATGTACAAATTCATCAGTCAACACCATTGCTAAGTATTTTTTCCTTAAAACTGCAGTGTACCAAAAAACCGGCTGTCAACTTGTGAGGCGGGGCTTTTCATATCTGGTCAAAGGTTTCAATTTACAATTTGTTTTTGCAGCGTTGAGTAATATAGCCAATCACAGACATCTGTTGATTTCTTGAACGCAATGGCCAATCAGAGGTGTTTAAGTTAGTGAGAATCCACTCACTGCTCAAAAGTTCTGCACGCTCGCGAATCCTCTCTTTATAACAAAGTAGACAAATTGTAAATAAGAGAATAACTGTGTAGAGCTTCATTAATGAATTATAACGGAATGAGATTGCGATAAACTAAGGTGAGTGACAGCTATTCAGTGATTATAAGGGGAGCGCTCTTTGTACGCTTTCTAGGCTATAATCCTTTCACAATTTGAATACATTCACTCACGGATTCATTCCCAAAACTGCAATGAATGACATAGTGATAATCATTAACCCAAGATAACCACTGTCAAATAGCGTTTACTTCCGCTAACTGAGTGAAAGTGGAGCAGGTCCGAGTTCGTGCTGATTGAGTTGGGGCGGGGACTAATATACATATTCATTCATCCATGCATACTCAATGAGGTACATTCAAGCCATTTTAATACACAAAGAAATTATTTTCATGGGGGAAAAAAACGTCCTTTTGATTTTCAAAGATGAGTTATAAGAGTTAAAATTATGGACTATGGGTGGACTTTAAAAGTGAAATTGACATTTTTTCTTGGTCTCCTGCTGCTCGGGATAGTTAAAGGGTTAGTTCACCCAAAAATGAAAATTCTATTATTAATTACTCACCCTCATGTCGTTTCAAACCCGTAAGACCTTCGTTCATCTTCGGAACACAAATTAAGATATTTTTGATGGAATCTGAGAGCTGTCTGACCCTGCATAGACAGCAATACAGCTGCATTCACACTAGCAGCAACTTTTGTTGCGATGAGGTTGCTAGTGGGCGTTCTCAATACTGGTTGCCTTGACAGTGAATCAGGTTTCTTGTTGCTAAGTACAAACATTTTGGAGGCAAAAGACTAAATCAAATCTAAATCTAAATTAAATCCGTACATACAAACAAAAATGAATGAGAAACAGAGCCTACTTTCTTCCATTGCGTATGTTTATCTACGGCGCTGAGAGGAGAACGATCACATGAGCGCTATTGTCTTCTTTCTTATTGGCTGTCGCTCCCAAAAGTCGCTCTTCATTTGCATAAAGCTGAAGGAATCTGAACTTTGTCGCGTCGCTGGACACGCCCCATTCGGTCGCCAACGGTCGCTGTCACCGGAAATCGCCAGCCTCCATTGAAATGAATGGGATTGTGTCGCTTTGTTGTTGTGTGTCGCTTGTAGTGTGAACGGGCTTACAACTGAAATGTTCCCAAGTCCAGAAACGTAGCAAGGAGATCTGTAAAATAATCCATGTGACATCAAGGGTTCAACCGTAATTATACGAAATGGCGCTACAGGGTGACGCGGAGGAGACAAATTGTTGAATAAACTCGTTATTATTTTTCTTTTGCTCACAAAAAGTTTTCTCGTAGCTATGTGTTCTTGTACTGCCATCAGTCAATCAGCATTGTCATGATGTAATTTTCCAGTTGATTAATCACATGGCATTTATGGCTCAGGTGATTGGCTCAAAAAGGTTTCAAATCACATAGGTGGTCCTCTGCCAGCTGAACAACTGCTACTGTGATGAATGGGAATCCTAACAGATATCTCTATCTAGAAGTTATAGACCACTCCAAAAATTTGT